TTTGATTTATTGTAGAGATGAGGTCTCACCAAGTTGCCCGGGTGGGTCTTGAACCTGCGGACTCAGGCCATCCATTCACCTAAGCCTCCCAAAGTGCAAGATTATAGGCTGAGCCACCGAACCCAGCTTAATTTTTTGATTTATTGTAGAGATGAGGTCTCACCAGGTTGCCCAGGTGGGTATTGAACCCACGGGCTCAGGCAATACACTCATCTCAGCCTCCCAAAGCGTGGGATTCCAGGCTGAGCCACCAAGCCCGGCTGACTTTTTTTTTAAAGGCATAAAAACGAGGCATCAATGGGTCAGATTTTGAGAAAATACCTGTAACTGTGAATCCACGGTGGCTGTTCTGTTTCATTCCGTTTGTCCATAAGCTTTGAGAGACTTGAGACCCGAGTGGCTTTGTTCAGCCAAGAAGGACTGTATTTTTTTCTCTGTTGCCCAGGCTGGAGAGCAGTGGCACGTTCATGGCCACCGCAGCCTCGACCTGCTGGGCTCCGGCGATCCTTCCGCCTCAGCCTTCCGAGTAGCCTGAATTACAGGCATGCGCCACCATGCCCGGCTGATCTTTTGATTTATTGTAGAGATGAGGTCTCGTTGCCCAGGTGCGTCTCGAACCCGCGGGCTCAGGCGATCCACTCACCTCGGCCTCCCAAAGCACTGGGATTGTAGGCATGAGCCACTGCGCCTGACAGTGAATTTTGTGTCGCGACAAGGTCTCACTATGCTGCCCAGGCCGGGTGGAGCAGTCCTCTCGCCGCCACCCCTCGGAGTGCTGGGATGACAGGCGTGAGCCACCGCGCCTGGCCGGGGCCGCCCCCAATGAAACGGGAAGGTCAGCAAGCACGGGTTCGAGAAGGAAAGAACGGATCCCTGCCAGCCGCCCTGACAGCAGTGAGCTGGGATGCACTCACCGGCATCATTCAGAAGAGGAGTCACCAGCCTCAGAGGGGCAGACAGAACAGGGACCCGGAAACCACGGCCAGGTGAAGTGGCTCACACTTGTGACCCCAGCACTCTGGGATGCTGAGGTGGGAGGATCATTTGAGACCGGGAGATTGAGACCAGCCTGGGCAACACAGTGAGACCCTGGCTCTACGAAAGTAGTTTAAAAAAAGAAAAAAAAGAACTGGCAACCGAGGCGAACTCCAGCGGTCCCTCCGAGCACTGCCCGAGGTGGCTGGTGTGTCGCTGGCCCTGGGCCTCCCCGTGCTCACTGGCAACGCACGCTGCAGCGGCCTGGGCGGGGACCGGCTCTTCCTCACCAGGGGCTCCTGGCATCTCCTGCTCAGTCACAGCTCGTGTCTGGCCTTCCTCTTGGGAACCGGCTTCCTGCCCCGTGGCGCAGAGGCTGTGCGCACGCCCAGTGGCGAGGTCCCTGGGTCCCGGGGCCGGCTCAACACCAAGGCCTGACTGAGCTGTCGGAGAACCGGGCCTGCTGACTCCCACGGCCGAGTCGGGAAGGCTGTGCCGTGGAGTCCCCCGGGCGGAGAGGGTGGGAGGTGGCAGGAGCGCAGGGCACACAGGCGCCACCGGGGCCCACGCCAGAGACCCAGGGCAGGGCTGCTCAGGCCGGCCGTGCCCACGGGCTGCGACGTGAGTCTACACACTCCCACCTCCTCCAGCTCCCCCAGCCGCCCTGAGTAGGAGACGCAGGCTGCGGCCTCCAGCGCGGGCAGTGCCCACCTGGTCCCGCCGCGGCTGACCCCCCCGGCCTGCACCGCTGTCCTCGGGCACGCTGATCTCCCCCCGGTTTCCAGAACTCCCACACGCACAGTGACACCGCCCTCGAGAGCGGCCGGAGCACGAGGTGACGTGGGCAGCCAGCGTCCCTGTCATTTCCACTCACGTTTGGGAAGCTTCAGCGGCAGCGGAAAAGGCTTCAGCACTTTATTGAAAGAAAGCAATAAATAACACTGTGATAAAAATAGTTCGAAAGTAGACTGTACATACTTTGTTACACAATCGGAAGTTCACAAAAGATTAATAGAAAAACAGAACAGTAGCATGAAGGGCACAAGCAAACAAAAGCAGGAACCCGCTGTAAAGACATGCTGCCCCCGTCTATCTGTTGCATCATCAATAACGCACCACGATCTGACACACTTCCTGCTGGCTTTTTAATATGCCACGTAAGAAGCAAAAGTTGCATTGGCTAGTTACACGATCCCACATGGCGACAGCAGCAAAATCTAAGAACGTACGACCAAGTTCATCCTTGAAGCACGTTTACGAGCAGATGTAAAAAGACGTTCACACGAGAAGTATAAGGCCTCTGCGAGCCGCACGCCGCCGTTTCAGGGCCCGCCTCTTCTGCTGCAGGCACCGATGTCCGAGATGAGCGCGCAGTGCTTGGTGATTGGTCCCCGGAGAGTCCTCGTTCGGCGCCGTCGCAGCCCGCCTCCAAGCAGGGAGGCCGGGGAGAAGGCTGGTGGCTGGGGCCCATCGCCAGGCTCCCACCCCAGGTCTTCCTCTCCCCGCTGAGAGAACTACTCCCGGTGCACGGCTTCTGGTCAGTCACTGAAGACAAGTACCCAAGTCCAGAGACGCAGCTAGGAAAGGGCTAACCAAGGCTAGGAGACTGTCATAGTGTTGTGATAATCCTCTCAGTCGAAATTTGATTAGGGGCTGATGTTTTAAACCTGCCCACGCTCAGAGTAAAGCAGTTCTGGCTGGAAAAAGTTGAGTAAAGATCAGTCATTAAAATACGGCAACAACTGCTTGATATTAAGGATGCTCATTTCGAAATGACTGGCAGAGCTGGGCTGTATTTGTACAGGATAATGCACATGGCTTGTGTCATGATAACTGTATAAACGTAGTAAAATCCTTTGTTGCGGCTTATCATTAAAAAATTAAACAATGATAATTACAATAGATGCATAATTTACAAAAGCCCTATATCTGTTCATAGGATTTATACATACACGCATTACAGTACATTCATTTGAAAGACTGAAATTAGGTATAAGAACATGGATTGAGTTGAAAGGATATTTATAGCCTGGATATACATGAAAAAGTAAGTAGCTATATAAATGAAGAGTCATAAGTTTCCATAAATATAAGAAACATTAAATTCTAAAATATTTTCTCTATGGTAATTCGTGAATTTTTCACTGATTAAAAACTCTGTAATAAAATATCTTCGGGTCCATATCACAAGTATTAACAGATTAAAGGTTCCACTGGCGTCTAAAACGTAGTCTTTGTTGGATTCAAATGCTGCATAATCATCGGTAGAAGTAGTGTGGGTAAACTGGAAAAGAAACACAAGCAAAACCCACTCTCAGTAAAGTCACAGCGAAAGGGAACACGGCATCCACAGCTGGGCCTGAGCCCACCCCACGGCGCCCCCCATGCCTCCTGTGCTCGAGCTGCCCCCAGAGGCACCAGCCAAGCGTGGAGGACCACACCTGCCAGTGAGGCTTCTCGGACAGACTCATCTCAGCCTGCGTCTAAATCACCAATGGAAAATAAAAGGTGGAAGGGACCAAGAAAATGTCCCAGCTGAGACATGAAAACCGAGAAGAGAACCAGGCATGGTGGCTGACGCCTGTCATCCCAGCACCTTGGGAGGCCGAGGTGAGAGGACTGCCTGAGCCCAGGCATTCGAGACCAGCTTGGGCAACTTGGTGAGCCCTCATCTCTACAATCAATCTAAAAATTAGCCGGGCATGGTGGCATACACCTGTTATCCCAGCACCTTCGGAGGCCAAGGTGAGAGGACTGCCTGAGCCCAGGCATTCGAAACCGGCCTGGGCAACTCGGCGAGACCTCGTCTCTGCAATAAATCAAAAAATTAGCCAAGCGCGGTAGTGCATGCCTGTAGTTCCGACTACTTGGAAGGTTGAGGTGGGAGGATCACCTGAGCCCAGCAGGTCGAGGCTGCAGGGGCCGGGAGCGGCCACTGCACAGCTCTGCCCCCAGGCCCAGAGCAGTGAGGAAAGGGCGGGTCCCTTGGCACCCAGGACCTCGTAGTGGGAATGCAGTTTGTTGGTGGAAACCAACCTCTTCCAAACCAAAAGGCCACTGAGCGCCGTACACTCACACAGCCTCGCGGAACTTAACGGAACGCATCGGTGACCACAGGGCCTTGGGCCCATTGCATTCAAGCATGTGTGCTCCATGCAGCAGCACAGGAAAGACACCAATGTGCCGAACGGCGTCCCGTGCCCGAACGCAGCCGAGAGCGAGTGCCTCTCCTGTCCCCAGGACTCATCAGACCCTTCCAGCGGGCCAGTGCTTTCAGGTTTAAGAAAAGCGAGAAAATACCTTTTTTCCCCTAAAAAAGCAAGGACGCAGCAACCCCGTTATGACCACCCGAACACCCCAAAGGTCTTGGCAGGCAGGGGGCCTGCGTGCCTGCAGTCCGAATCCCCACGTTCCCTGCCCCGCGGCTCTGTCCTGCCAGCGGAAGCCCTGCCAGGTCCAGGGTCCAGTGCTCTACTCACCAACAGGAGGCTTTAGCACGAGTAAGTCCTGACTGTAGCAGAATCCAGCCTCTGAGGTCCTGACACATTGCCTGTTCCGACAGCACGAGAGGAGGCATGCAAACACAGCGTGCAGTTAGTCGGACAACAAGTCACGTGGAGCAAGCAGACACACCTGCACACCTCAACAGCTTTGGCCAATGGCCCAGGGGAGCTGCGGGCGTGGGTGGGAAAGTGTCCCCCAGTGGGGCGCTCTCCAGCTCCCGGGGAGCACTGGGAGACACTGGAAGAGAACTCTGGGGTAGCAATGGTGCACCCAACGGGAGAAACGCGGTTTCGAAATGTGCATCTGCACAAGTGACAGCCACGCGGAGGAATGGTTTTCTCTGAAACCCTACATTCAGAGCCCAGTGGGGCTTTCCGTTCTTCCCTAAGTTCTTCGACTGGCAGGAGGGAAATCACCAGGTGGCACTGTGCGACCACCCCAGTCCCTGAAGCCCGAGGTGGATGGGACTGGGTGCAGGGGTGCCAGGGTGTGGCCAGCCGAGGAGGGGCTGCTTGTCTGGGGAGCCCCGCCCTCTTGCCCGGGGCAGGGCTGAGGTGAAGAGGCCTGGCAGCAGGGCGGGCCTGGCAGACCATGCCACTGGACAACGACTGGCCTACGACAACTGAATCCAGTCTCAGTAACTACCAGAAATACGAGAGATCATGGGATCTGGGGTCCTTGTTCAGGAAATACACTGAATGGCCACAGGGAAGCTGTTCCACACATGAACTGGATGGGGCTGCCTACACCCAGAGCAGATATCCACTATTCCCAGTGAGACAGCTTGTGCTTCCCCACCCTGAACACATTTTTTTTTTTGAGTTGGGGTCTCACTCTGTCGCCCGGGCTGGAGCACAGTGGCACACTCAAGCACAGCCTCAACCTGCTGGGCTCAGGCAATCCTCCCGCCTCAGCCTTCTAAGTAGCTGGAACTACAGGCACGCACCACCACTCCTGGCTGATTTTTTTGATTTATTGTAGAGATGAGGTCTCGCCAAGTTGCCCAGGCGGGTCTCGAACCCGCGGGCTCAGGCAATCCACTCACCTCAGCCTCCCAAAGGCGCGGGATTACAGGCTGAGCCACCGAGCCCGGCTGATTTTTTATGTATTGTAGAGATGAGGTCTTGCCATTTGCCCAGTGGTGGTCTCGAACCTGTGGGCTCAGGCCATCCTCTCGCCTTGGCCTCCCAAAGAGCTGGGATTATAGGTGTGACGACACCCAGTCTCCACAAACACATTTAATCAACATCCTGCTGTGATTCTGGCAGAGACGGCAGGACAGCTGGGACTGGGTGGGGAACAGAGGGTCCCTACGAATCCCCCGAGGGCCAGGACACCTGCTGGAGTTTACCTTATATCCCCGTATTTACAAAGCCATCACAGTAATCGATTTACCAGGTTTGTGATGGATGATGGATGTGGAGAGATTTTTTCTGTATGACATTGCCACCATTTTTCTAGGCTCACTTTTAATCTATCCAAACTCGCATTCTTAACGTTGCTGTTAACATTTAACAGGGGAAATGGAATTTGGGAAGTTGGAGCTACAAGGAAAACAAAGGGCCCCGTCCAGACAGCTCAGTGAGTGGGCCGAGCACAGGCCAAGGTCACCAGGTCTGAGAATCAGCTGCAGCATCTTTGCAAGAAAAGTGCGAATTTCGAAAAAGTTGCCGGGTGAAAGACATATTGGATTTTTCCTCTTAAGTCTATTATTAAACTCTGACCCCAAAAGCAAGAAACAAAAACCCCAGCTTTGTGTTAAAATGCTGCCCTGTAAGCCATTCTCACCAAACATGTCCAGCTTAACTAAGGTTTTATTCACACATACTGTCCTCTTGAATTATATAAGGCAACTGAGAGCATAACTTATAAACCTACTAGTGGGATGGGCTAAGGCAGAAAAAAATGGTGAAAACCCATCAGAACAGCTTTTAAATCCACTTCCTTTCTCAGGCCCAAGCCACCGGCACCAGAGCTGAGATAAACCATGTCCACGTGTAGCCTGGGGACCATCAACACAGCTGGACAGCCAACACAGAGGCCAGGCCCAGGACTGCACCAGCATGACGGATGCTCGCTTCATCACCACGCCCATCCGGTGAGGACGCTGCCACTGTGGGGACCATTTCACAGACGCGGAGGGCTAGGTGCTGTGCAGGCAAGGGACCCATAAAGGTCACGCACCCCCTGGCGGCAGAGCCAGAGCCAGACCTTGGCAGCCTGGCTCTGGAACCCGAGTGCTGCCTTTCAGTAGCCGAATACAAGGTCAAAGTTGAGAACTGTCAGGAGACCATGAGCCACCCTTCGCCAGCTGTGTCCTCAAATCAAAGTGGCTGTCAAAGAAAAAAGCCCCAACTTCACTTGAAACAGAGATCGCGATGCCCTCTCCCACCAGCCAATTCAATGGGGCTGGCGCTGTCTCCCCAGGACTTCCCCGAGGTCACCTTCTTCTTTTCACCCTGTCCTTTAACGGGTAGGTGTGTGATTGCATAGACATATAGCCAGGGCGGGGGGAAAGCAAAGGCAGGGCTCCTAGAGGCTGGCACCTGTGTCATCGGAAATGGACTCGGCCACCATCCCAGCGTGGAGCAGTGCTGGGAGGTTGCTGCGTGTCCACAGGCTAGGCCCACACCCCTGTCCTCTGAGCGCCCTCCAGTGCTGCCTGTCACATACATACACTACACATGTGGACGTCAGGCTCACATGGCGAGAACACACACCGACAAGGGTTTTCTTAAAATTCTATAATCACTCTTAAACTTGCAGCAACAAATGTTAAGTGTTAATTCTAAAACACTGACAGCTGGACATGCAGCTACAGTCAAACGCCTCGCAACACTGCGACAGGCCCCTGCAGACCGTGGTGAACACTCTCGGCATAAGCTGCCCAGGCTCTCGCAAGCAGCAGTGGCCTCGGCCCCAACCTACCGTCCATCTGCATCTTCTTTGGCTGCATAGAGGGTGAAGACATGGAAGAAGTAACCCGAAAGTTAGCAGGGAGCGTCTCTGCCGACCCAGCAGCTAAGCCACGGATATCCTTTGGTCTGAATTTTTTTCTCCATGAAGGTGCTCTCCTAAAACTTTTATCATCATCCTGGAAAATCAGAACAGAAAATGAGATTCATTTCAAAGTAAAGAGCAGAGGTGTATAGAAAAGTTAACTGCCACCAAGTGCGGTGGCTTGCACCTGTCATTCCAGCACTTTAAGAGGCTGAGATGACAGGAATGCCTGAGCTCAGGGGTTCAAGACCAGCCTGGGCAACTTGGCGAGACCTCGTCTCTACAATAAATCAAAAAATTAGCCAGGTACGGTGGCACTTGCTTGTGGTTCCAGCTACTTGGGAGGTTGAGGCAGAAGGATCGCCTGAGCCCAGCAGGTCGAGGCTGCAGTGGTCGTGAGCGTGCCTCTGGACTTCAGCCTAGGCAACAGAGTGAGACTCTGTCTCAAAAAAAAAAAAGAAAAAGAAAAAGGAAAAAAGAAGAGCTAACTGCCCTGCAGAATGACGGCTGATCTCACAAATGTATTCCTGTTCCCATGCATTTAGCCTGTTCTTGATGACCACGCCATTTACTGCTCAAACTGGACCTTCAGCAGGTGACACCCCTGCTGCACCTCAGCCGACCCGAGTCAGGACGGCCCTGGGCCACTGAGGACGAGCTCCTTCTATCTGTCATCACGTCTTACTTCTTCCCTGGCAGAAGTCACGGAATGCTAGTCAGAGCGGGATCGGAGGCAAATCCTGAATATGTCTGCAACTTTCAGCTGGACTGTGGAAAGGACGATTCAGAACAGACGGTTTAACTCGTGCCTCACGACAGAAGCTTGCAGCAACCAGCTTCAGATTTTTTTGTTTTCACCCGCTCTCAGTACTGGGAAAGTGAAAAATGTGCTGGTCGTGAATGTGTTACCCTCCTCCCACCCAAAGCCATGCCTCATTCTTCCCACACTATTGGTGTTCTCGTCACTGGATCTCAAGAAAACTTGATTTTGACAAAGCGCCTGGAGCCCCATCTCTAAGGATGGAGCTCTAGTTGACTGTATCCTCTAAGTAGTAGGCAGAACTACTTAGAGCTGCAAGACTTTTTTTTTTTTTTTTGAGTTGGAGTCTCACTCTGTCGCCCAGGCCAGAATGCAGTGGCACGCTCACGGCCACCACAGCCTTGACCTGCTGGGCTCAGGCATTCCTTCCACCTCAGCCTTCCAAGTAGCTGGAACTACAAGCGCCATACCACCGTGCCCGGCTAGTTTTTGTGATTTACTGTAGAGATTAGGTCTTGCCAAGTTGCCCAGGCTGGTCTTGAAGCCCTGAGCTCAGGCAATCCTCTCGACTCGGCCTCCCAAAGTGCTGGGATGACAGGCCGAGTCACTCCGCCCCCAGCCGTGTTATCATTTTTTAAAAGAAAGGCATTGCAGTGGACATACGTGTTGATCAATCATCATGCATTATGGTTTTATTCACTTGTCCAATCAAAATATTTAATGCTAGAACTTTTTTTCATCTGGGACACTACAGCATTGCTCCACTTATTTTTATTTCTTTGGACATGTATATCTGTGGTGCATCTGATCATAATACCTGTTAGTTTCAGTTGTGATCATTTCTATACAATCATCTAAATAGTTCGACAACTTCACCTATACTTTGAGGATCATGTGGAAATGCCTTGACACCTGGATCACGAATAAACGCTTCTAAGTTTCTTTTTGGATCACATTTTGTCCATTCAACGTCTTATTAGTTCTCACCGGTACAAGAACCCTTGTCATAGAGTATCTGCGTTATATTTCTTCATTCACACTGTATCATTGCACCACTATCTGTCTCACTATTACTAACAAGGCCACTGGATTCACCTTCGACCTCAGAACTCTCATCAGCTTATATTTCTCCATTTTCCATAATAATGGTACATTATTATTATTATTATTATTTTGAGTCGGAGTCTCACTCCGTCGCTCAGACTAGAGTACAGTGGCCGCTCCCGGTCGGCCACCGCAGCCTCGCCTGCTGGGCTCCGGCGATCCTTCCGCCTCAGCCTTCCGAGTAGCTGGAACTACAGGCGCGCTCTACCACGCCCGGCTAATTTTTTGATTGATTGTAGAGATGAGTTCTCGCCAAGTTGCCCAGGCGAGTCTCGAACCCGCGGGCTCGGGCAGTCCACTCACCTCAGCCTCCCAAAGGTGCGGGATTACAGGCTGAGCCACCGAGCCCGGAGCCCGGCTGGTACATTATTTTTAAATTTAAAGTATGAAAGTCCTGAAATACCAAAATGCAAGTATACGACACTAATCACAACAAAACAATGACCAACTTGCAATTTTTACCAACTACGTCAATAACATTGTGCAGTCAATATCAGATAATTATCTCAATTAACTTTCTCCCTCCTTGCCTATCCATTTTCAAGGAAAATATAACATGTACATATGACAATGTTGCAGCATTCAGAAACAAACGTGCAAAGATGTGAATTCACATCAGCAGTCACAAATGAGTTACCAGTCTGTGTTTAACCTACAGACACTCCTTAAACATCCTCCCAAAAGCACAGGGGCTCCGGGCTGGGGCAGGACATCCAGTGGTTCCCGAAAAACAACTTACAAACTGCAGTCCTAGGTCACAACCAAAGCTCTATGAAGGAAAGACTATTTTTGAGGGGTGTCAAAATTGAATAGCAAAAATGAAAACACAAAACTGTCTTACTAAAGACATTATTAGCTTCTTGGCCAGGTATGCTGCCTCATGCCTGTAATCCTGGCACTTCGGCAGCCGAGGCAAGAGGACTGCTTAAGAACAACCTGGGCAACAAAGCAAGATCCCATCTCTAATACATTAAAAGCATAAATTAGAAAAAGAAGATATTAGTTTCTTTCTTTTTTCTTATTTCAGTAGCTTTAGGGGAACAAATAGGTTTTTTTGGCTTTGTTTTGTTTTCTGAATTGGAGTCTCACTCCCTCGCCCAGGCTGGAGTGCTGTGGCACACTCACGGCCCCACCACCATCACCCACCAGCGCTGACCCGCTGAGCTCCAGCAATCCTTCCGCTTCAGCCTTCCAAGTAGCTGGAACTACAGGTGTGCACTACCATGCCCAGCTAATTTTTTTTTATTTATTGTAGGGACGAAGTCTTGCCAAGTTGCCCGGGCTAGTCTCGAATCCATGGGCTCAGGCAATCCACTTGCCTCAGCCTCCCAAAATGCTGGGATTATAGGTTGAGCTACCGAGTTCGGCCACAAATAGTTTTTTATTGCATGGTTGCACTGTACAGTGGTGAAGAAGTCTTGGGCTTTGCGTGTACCCACCAACCTACCTGATATTAGCCTCCTAATAGCCCCTTTGCTAATAAATTTGTAAGAGCAAAACTTTAACTTGTAAACTAAAATCACTTCCACATTGAGACAGCCTAGCTCCATGCTGTCCTGAGCCTAATAAAACAGCTTACGTCTAATGCAAACTTCAAGAACATGAGGCTGAAAACTCACTTCATCGAACCTTCTGTCAGTCCCCATGACCAAAAGGGTGTTAAACTCTCTTTCCAAGACAGAACGAGCCTGAAATAAAACAACCAAAACTTTCATCAGTCTAAAGAGTTTTCTTATTTTATTTCTTGCAAGACTCTCATGGTTGCAACAGAAAAGGGAGAGATGAAAGACAAAAATAATAAAGTAAGCACTGCTTGAATTCTTTTTTTTTTGTTTTTTGAGTTGGAGTCTCTGTCATCCAGACTAGAGTGCAGTGGCACACTCCCGGCCACCGCAACCTCGACCTGCTGGGCTCCGGCGATCCTTCCGCCTCAGCCTTCCAAGGAGCTGGGACTACAGGTATACACTATCACGCCCGGCTAATTTTTGATTTATTGTAGAGATGAGGTCTTGCCAAGTTGCCCAGGCGGGTCTCGAACCCGCGGGCTCAGGCAATTCACTCACCTCAGTCTCCCAAAGCGCGGGATGACAGGCTGAGCCACCGAGCCCGGCTTGCTTGAATTCTTAACGATCACATCACATGTGAGTTATAAGAAGAGACTCCTGGTGTCTGGAGATGTTTTGTTAAGTTTTCTCTCCACTCAAATGAGTAACACATCATCTGAAACTATGGCCCCAACGGAACCCCAATGGACAGCGCTGGCATCACCTGAGTGTTCTGCGTCGGGATCTGCAGCAGCAGTGCCAGGGTGCTGAAGTCAAAGCTGTCATCCAAGGCCAGGAGCGCTCCGTGGACGCCGCTCTCCAAGAGGTTGTCTGCATACTCCTTGAGGCCGATGGACAAGACCCAGCGCATCACGCGGTCATTGCTCCAAACCAGCACGTCTGCAAAGGGACACAGGAGTCATCCAAGTGGCTCTGCAGACACCTTCGTCACAAACACCCGTGACACCGAACAAAGCCTCCTGCTGTGGCCCCCAGTCCCATGGCTCCTGACAAAGGCAGGATCCCCCCAAGCTCGTGCTGCAGCCACTGTGACGTGGGTCCTGCTCACTCCATTCTAACGGAAACTCTCCTGTTTGCCCTTGTTCTTCCAGTGAACACAAGAAGAACAAAGTCACGATACACGCTCTGTTTCTAGAGAACAGAAAACGAGGAGGACCCAAGGACTGGAAACCAGGAGGGTAAGAGTTCGGATACCTGACATGCACGAGCAGGTTCCAAACACTGACCTGAGTCTCTGATATACGTCTTCCCATGGCAACCAATCACCTGGACACCTTACTCTCTTCAACGTAAACCTCTCATTTCTAACCTGGAAGCCTTAGCTCATGCTGCCCCATTTTGAAAAGAGAGAAACTAAAAACCATTCTCCGGTATATCAGACAAGAGTCTTATCTCCTGCAAATTAATAACTTATTTGCTCTGCTAGATCTAAAAACAGTCACTCAGTGGAAATACATTCAGATCATCACCAATCACATACAAAGACAGCTTTTGTCGACTGCAGAAAGATGTCGCGTGAGTAAGAACACACAGCAGATGGGAGCATTTCATTTCTGGGAGAGAATCCACACACAGACATACACTATAACATGTCCACTGATGACTTTTCTTATGATTCACGCTAACTTGATCTGAGTCAACCACTTTTCAAATGGCCCATTCTCCCAACAGCATTTTTTTTTTTTTTTTGAGTTGGAGTCTCGCTCTGTCGCCCAGACTGGAGTGCAGTGGCTGCTGCCGGCCACCGCAGCCTCGACCTGCTGGGCTCCGGCAATCCCTCCGCCTCAGCCTTCCGAGTAGCCAGGATTACCAGGCGCGCGCTACCATGCCTGGCTAATTTTTGATTTATTGTAGAGATGAGGTCTCGCTGCCCAGGCGGATCTTGAACCCGCAGGCTCAGGCAATCCACTCACCTCAGCCTCCCAAAGGCGGGGGATTACAGGCTGAGCCACCGAGGCCGGCTATTTTTTTTTTTTTTTTTTTTGAGTTGGAGTCTCACTCTTGTCACCCAGGCCGAAGTGCAACGGCACGCTCACACCCACGGCAGCCTCTGACTTAGGCGATCCTTCTGCTTCAGCCTTTCAATCCCAACAGCATTTTTAACTTTAGTTTCTTTCTTAGTAAAAACGGGCTGAAGACAGCATTTACACTCACCAGGTTACAGCGAGGCTTAAGTACATCAGCCTGAGGAAGCTCCTGCTTACTAGTTAATAAGTTTGCTTCTTCTTATCATGGTCACTGTTACCAGTGACTTCCTTATGTTCCAAGAATCCTAGGAGACCTACTTTGGCTTAATGTTTAGTGTCTTACTTTATTTTTATATTTTTGGGGCTGTAGTGCAGTGACGCGATCACAGCTCACTACAGTCTCAAACTCCTGGACCCAGGTGATCCTTCTGCTTCAGCCTCCCAAGCTGCTGGGACTAGAGGTGTGCGCCACCATGCCCATATTATTTGATTATTTTGGGGGTAGAGACAAGGTCTCCCTTTGCTGTCTAGGCTGATCTCAAACTCCTAGGCTCAAGCAATCCTCCCATCCTGGCCTCCCAAACTGCTGGGATTACAGACATGAGCCACCGAGCCCGACAATGTCTTACTTAAATGCACACTGCAGTCCTTGGCCACTCAGAGGGTGCTGAGAACGAAGTTCCTCAACCAAGAAGAGTCCCCCTGTCTTCTGGGTGAGCGCCTCACACGCTCTGACAGCTCCCAGCCTGTTTCCTAACTGAAATGCCTTTTCCTCGCCTCCCCCAACAGAACTCTCAAGAAGCTCCTGGTCCTTCCCCAGGGCCCGTCCAAAATGCCGACTCTGCCTGCCCCCCTCCCCTCTGGGGACTCCTGAAGCCCCTGGGTCACCACAGAGCGGCCTCTCCCACATCACCAGTGAGCGAGCACCTTTGCTGTTTCGTTACCTAACAGTGTGGAAGAACATTTCTGAGTGAGAGAGAACGTATGTCGTCACAAAAGGAAAACGCCAAAGTCACAGGAAAAACGCTAGCCCAGACGCGCAGCCGCCGGTCCGACGGAGGCAAGCAAGCTCCAGGTCTCGGGCTCTGGAGGAGGGCCTCACGGCGCCACCTGCATCCCCGCCACCTCTGTGGGGGAGCCGGGCCGCCTTCTCCCCTGAGAGCCTTGCCTGATGTCCAGTAGGAAACCACTCAGGCTGCCAACACACCGCAAGCAGGAGTGTGCCAAGTCAGTTAAACACAATGCACTAGCCTTTGATTTCATTCTGACTTTCTTCTCTTTTTCTTTCCAGTTCTTTTCGGTCATAATTTAACCTTCTCAGGCACATAATTCCACACTGGAAACTGTTCCTATTGGCACAAAAAAAAGAGGTTATTTGGAGACACCTATAGCAACAACCATCGTCGTCAACCAGTAAGCGCCGCCTGCACGCCCCGGCCACCTGTGAAAGCTGTCCACCATCTTCAGCTGCCCCCGCAGGTCCTTCTTGGTCAGGTGGTCCAGCATCCGGGCGTCCACAAGGCACTCCATGAAGTAGCTGCGGTACTGAGGCAGGCCCAGGCTGGGCAGCCACTCGTTGCCAATCCACTCGTGGTTCATGTCCCCGTAGGCGAGGGTCTGCTTGTGATGAATGAGCGACATTAGCGACAGGAGGAGTCCCGAGAGCAGCTGAAGGCATTTCTCATCTATCACATACATTCTCAAAACCCGGACTGATGCCTTAAGAACTTGATCTCCCTTTTCCACTTTTGAAACTTGTTAGTAAAGTTTTATACAAAAGAAATGGTAGCACGACAAATACATGACTCGTGTGTGATAAATTAAACTCGTTTACCAAACCATCATAATACTGTAACTGGGTGCCAATTTCCTTTCTGAAGCAGTTTTTGTGTGTGTGTGAAATAGTTTTTTATATAATAATATAACAACAAAGAATGATCACGACTCATGAACAAGTTTGAAGGTTCAATTCAACTTTACTCATTACAATTATCTCTGTCTAGTCTTCATTTTATTTTCAACATGTTGTTTTCCTAAACAAGACATCTGTTTATTTTTAAATCAGGTGAATTACAAATAATTTTTTAAAAGAAATAAAGCAACAACCAACAGGACTGAGCGAAGAAATCCACAATTACAGTCCAAACAATTCTCAGCCGTAGGTCTTATTGGGAACAAAGAAAAAGAAATCGTCCCAGCACACTTCTCTCATAGCAACTGACTGAAAAAGCCAAACAATAAATAAATGAAAGGCCACAAGGACAGAGACCTAAACAACACTTAACTGACAGGACCTAGTTGCCAATTTATCGCACATTCTACCCAATGACAGAGTACATCCTCTTTTAAAGTGCATATGGAATATTCTATGAGACAAACCTCAACATATTTAAAGACCTCAAGAGAATTACATTAGAAACCAATAGCAAAAAGACATCTAGGACAGACCCCCTAAATATTCAAAAATTAGCATGCTGAAAATAACTCATGTGTCGAGAAATTACAAGGGGTACCAGGAAATATTTTTAGTGGAAGAAAACGAAAGCAAAATATTAAAAAACTGAGTAGAAGAGTTAAAGCAGTGTCTTAAGGGAAAAGTTACACTGTTAAATGATTATATAAATGCAGAGAGATCTCAAATCAGTGACCTAAGAGTCTATGTTTTAAAAACTTAAAGCAGAAGAACAAATGAAATCCACAGAAAGCAGAAGTATAAGGGCAGAAGTTGATGAAACAGAGACATAGAAAACAAACCAACAACACAAGCCATCCGATGCTTCATAAACATCAACACAATTAAGAAAATCTAGCCAGACTGAGTTAAAAAAAAAAAAAAAAGAAGACAAAAATTACCAACATCAAGAATGGAAGAAGGAAGCTAGGCATGGTGGCACACACCTGTAGTCCCAGCTACTTGGGAGACTGAGGCAGGAGAACAGCTTGAGCCCAAGGGTTTGAGACCAGCTTGGGCAACACAGCAATATCTTGTCTCAAAAGAATAAAAGTAAGATAAAAAAGGAAACATCAGTACAGATCCAACAGGCATTGAAATAATAAGGGATACTATGAACACTTTTTATACTATGAACTATTTTTAGTTGAACTGGACACATTTCTTAAAAGATACACTACCAAAGCCACTCAGTAAGAAATAAGTAACATGTATCTATTAGGACCTGAACTTGTAATTATAAATCACACACAAAAATCTCTTCACTGGCAAATTCTACCAAACATTTATCAAAATAAATACCTGCAACTCTACACAACTATTCCCAAAAAAGAGAAAAAGAAATGTCTTAATTCAATCTACGAAGCCAGCATTACCCTCAGAACCAAACCAAAGATATTATAAGGAAAGCAAATTGCAGGCCAAAATCTCTCAGACACAGACGGAAGAATATCACACCAACATATTAAAAGAGTAAGAGGCCAGGCGCGGTGGCTCATGCTTGTCATCCCAGCACTTTGGGAGGTGGAGGCAAGAGGATTGCCTGAGTCCAGAGGTTCGAGACCAGCCTGGACAACTTGGCGAGACCACATCTCTACAATAAATCAAAAAATTAGCCAGGCATGGTGATGTGCACCTGTAGTTCCAGCTACTTGGAAGGCTGAGGTGGTAGGATCACCTGAGCACTCCAGCCTGGGCGACAGTGAGACTCCGACTCAAAAAAAAAAAAGAACACAATATCGTGGAAATACGGTTTATTATTCTAGAAACATATGCTAATTCAACATTTGAAAAAATTCAATGAAATTCACCACACCAAGAGACTGAAAAAAAAAAAACTGGCAGGTGCAGTGGGTCACACCTATAATCCCAGTACTTTGGGAGGCCAAGGTGAGAGAGGATTGCCTGAGCTCACAGGTTTGAGACCAGCCTGGGCAACTTGGCAAGACCTCATCTCTACAGTAAATAAAAAAATTAGCCAGGCATGGTGGCACGTGCTTGTAGTTCCAGCTATTTGGAAGGCTAGTGGAGAAGGATCATCTGAGCCCAGCCGGTCGAGGCTGCAGTGGCGTGGAGTGTGCCACTGCCCTCCAGCCTGGGTGACAGAGTGAGCTTTCAACCCAAAAGGAAAAGAAAAGAAAAACCATAATGTCACCTCAAAAGACACAGAGAAAGTATTTGACACAGTTCACCATTCATTTCTAGAACTTTAAGCATCCGAAGAATGGAAGAAAGGGTCTCAGCCCGATGCAGGGCATCCACCCAGACTCCAGAGCCAGCACCCTGGCTTGGTGGTGAGGGACTCAGTGTTCACCTAGGACAAGGAACCCAGCAGGGATGCCCACTCGCACCTTTCACTGGATACTGTGCTGGGGTTCCTAGCCACTGTCACAGGGCAAGAGAGAGAGAGAGAGGGAGAAAGCACATTAACTGGAAAGGGAAGAAACTGTCTTCGTTTGCAGATGACACAGTTGTCAACATAGACAAGGGATCTCCAAAACAGCTAGCAGCACTAGCAAGTAGCAGACTACAAGGGCAACATATAAAAAGGAAAGATACTGTGCTACATACCAGCAATGAACTGGAAACAGAAATTTTGAAAACACCATTTACAACGGCATCAGCACAGAAAATCCTTAGGAATGAATCTAACGGGATATATACAAAATCTGCACGATGACAAAGACTAATCACATTCTATACACATTCATATCTGAGAGGTACCTGATCTCCAGCAGAGGAATTCTAAGTCATGTCACAGGATCCCAGGAAACAGCAACTCCACTACCACCATGCCCTGTCTCGAAACGGAAGACTTCCAATCCACTTATTGTTTGTTCCAATCAGGGTACAGGCGATAACTCAAATTCTAACAAAGAATGTTCAACTTCTAACAGAAAAAAAAATCTTTTGCTATTCTTTCAACAACTGTGGGTGAAAAATACGCCAAACGTTTTTTTGGGAATCATCAATTTTTCTCACAGCATCACCAAGCATTTTTTTTTACTCTTTTGAACCTTACTCTCTGGCCTGATACATACAGCATGACTCTCTGGTATTGTTTTCCTGCTTGCTGATTGCATATTTTCTCAAATAGGCAAAACCAGCAAAGAAATTGTCTACAGAGAAAAGTACACAGAGGCAGAACCCTGCTTGCTTTGACTTATTTCTGTGTACTCGGCAAACCCCCTGCTGGAGCGGCTGGCAGTGTCATCTCCTGGAGGATCAGGCTCCCTCCCAGGGATCCCTTCTCCCGAGCTGCCCTCACAGCCTTCCGAACAAAGCATGAAGGCGAGCTCCTGGGTGGAGAACCCACTGCACCGCGCTGGGTTCCACCACTAACAGGATTGCGTGTACAAGTCAGTTCTGTGAACTCCGCAACGTCTGAGCTCCCGGCTGAAGGGACCGTGGTCATCCCACCCACTGGTGGTCACAGCCAGTACTCGCTTACTACTTGTGGCATGAAGCGTACATGGCTTTGACCACACCTCGATGTTTTCTTCCCGGGTGACCAGGGGCAGCTCAATGTCCCCTTGGGGTAAGAGCTGTTCACAGCAACCATACAGGGAGGGCACTCTGGACGACCCCTGCCCTTGGCAGTACGTGGCAAGGGGGAGGCGGGGACGTGATACGAGCCTCCACTGAAGACTGCACATTGGCTAATTCTGGAATCATCTGCCTGGCCCCTTCTTGTCCACAATTCCATTGCAAAGAGCACTGGTAAGCTTATTTAACGCATACTTCCTGCCTCTGATGCAGGCAATTACATACGGAAGTACTGACGAAGTTCTGCTTCCAAGTGCAAAACATACCGAAATCTAAGGAATTATGAAATGTTCCCTGTTTAATGAACTGATGTCCATCACTGGTTCTGTAAAGAGAGATCCAGGCAGATTAAATAATTAATAAGGCTATTTATCTAGAGGAGAGACACACAATGCCTAAATCAAGAGATGGAAAAACCCGCCGAGTCAAGTATAGCTACTCCCCTCCTTTGTTTAAAAAAAAAAAAAAAAAAAGGCAATATAGCCAGCCGTAGTTCGAGTACAAACAGAAGGAAACGGCTGCTCCAACCATCAGAAAGATTCAGATTTAGGACCTGCTTGTTTCTCTTCAGATACGTCAGGATTCTCCTGAAGTCCACTTGTGGGCGGCGAGTCCACGCCCCCTGGGGGCCACGCGCGGCTGACACTGGGCGCCACAGCAGAGCTGGAAGGAGCTGCTGCCTTTCAGGCAGGCTGGCTGAAAGGAGGTCGCAACACTGCAGGGCCAGAGCTTCCAGTGAGTCAAAGAACCGGGAGGTGAGAATTCCAGGGGCCGGGACCCGAGAAGAGGCTCAATCTCTGAGAATTCCATTAGTAAGATCTTTAAGTGGACACAGTATCAGGACAGTTCTTAGTAAAATACTGACACAAGGACACAGAGCGGAAGTCATTCTGCCAATTTTTGAGTTTGGAAATTTATGAGACTACAATTTCCCCGTTGGTAGGTCTTATAACGAAAGCTACCTCAGCAGGGAGTTCACAGGTAATCACAGAAGCTGCCGCGGCCACCATACTTTGTACACAAGATCGCACGTTAAAGAAAGCGATCCGCACTGCTTAAACGTAACCACCATGGTTCCATACGAGAAATGTTCAAAATTGTCCATGAGACGTACTCGTTAATCCTGTGCTTTGCTTGAGTAAAGTTTTCAAGTTGTTAACAATGCTGCACTCTGAATAGATTAAGATGCTCAAGACATCAAGAAAAGAAAATCACACAAGTTTTCATACTCCAATTGTTTTTTGTTGCGGTACACGTATGAGGAATAGATTATAGAAAGACTCCAACCTGAGCCCAGCTTCCCTCCTCATCTTCCTGATGTTACGTGGTTAGGAATGCAAAAGAACACAACTATTAGTATTGGTGAGCTTGGGAATGCAAGCACGTTACCGTGGGGGGGAAGGTGCAGCTTAAACGAGTGCAAGTTCCAAACACCAAGACATCATGCAAACTCATGCACAACCCACAGGCCCAACTCCCATGCAAGGGCAGACTCTTTCCACACCAAGCGCATCCATAAAGGAGAAGGGGCCAGACGGTCACAGCAGAGGGCTGAGCTGAGGGCTCCCCAGAAGGGGAGGTACACTCAGTCTATTCTAGATAGATACAGCGAGTCTACCAAACTCCTGGAGATATCTAAAATAAAACATGTATTCACACATTCAACTAGTGACTCAAAAATACTTATCTGGAGCAATCGAATGGAAAATGACAATGTATTTTCAACAAAAAGGCAAAGAACCCAGACGGTAGTGAGCGGCAGGCACGGGAGAGGCTGCGGTGTGGACTAACCGTTTGCGGCGTGGCTGCGAGCGTTTCCATCTCTTCGTGTGTTAACCACACATTTCCTGTGGTCTAGGTGACCAGGGCACCGACCACATCCAGGGCAAGGGAAGCAGTGACAGAGAGGAGAGGGGCATACACGTAAGCCACAGGCACAAGAAGGGCCAGGAGCCAGGGCGCGCGCTTTACCCCCAGGTCGGAGGCCCGCCCGACAGGTCCTTGCAGAATCACCATGCCCTGCTAACCTGTCGCCAGCAATCCCAGAGCTTGGAAGGCCATGCTTACCCCCGAGGCATGCGAAACGTAAAGAGGAGAAACACGTTTTGAACTTCTGCAAATGCTGAACAATTCCCAAATAACTGCTGATTCCATGTACTGAACAAAGAGGGTGGCAACCAAGGGCACCGTGCCGCTCTGGCGGTTGGCAGATGCCCCGTGACGGACCACTACACCTGGAGAATTGAAGGGCAGGCGCAGGCCGAGCGGGCCGCAGGAGGGCCAAAGGGGTCAGCTCGTCAGACTAGGGCGCGTCCTGCCAAGACCAGACACATGTGGCCGCCCAGCCTGCCAGACTTCGACCCTGCGTCGACACAGCGTGCGGGGGCCTTACGTGAGGTGCTCTTCGCCACTGCTGAAAAAGCAGTCTACAGACTGGAAAACCACATCCCTTCATTTCTAGAAAGGCCACTCTAACATGACACTCATGGGGACAGAGGTCAGACCCTGCCGCAAAGCATCCCATTGGCAAAGGGGCTCTCTGAGCAGGGGGTAAGAACAAAGGCTTACTGTTCATGGCCACGATGCTTTCACTAAGAAAAAAAATCAACCCCAAAGCCTCCCAACGTTATTGGTGAGGTCACCGTGAGCCCCGAGCCTGCCTCGCCCCGCTCCTGGGAGAGGCTCGCCTGGGAGGCCGTTCGCTCTCTGCCAGCGCCTGCCTGCCCCGAGCAGACCAAGGGCAGAGACCACATCCTCGACCAGGAGCGGCCCACCCTTGTCCCCACAGCCACTCACGCTCCTATGAGAAGAGTTTTCAACTCCGCCAACAAGAAGGACCCTCCCAAAGACCTTCCCAAAGGAGAAGAGCTGCACGAGCGCAGGGATCGTCTGCAGACGTGGGAGCTGCCCACAAGCCTGAGCTTCCAGGGGGCCCAGCTCCCAGGTGGAAAGCAGCTGCAACAGGCCAGCCACAGTGGTGCACACCCATGATCCCAGCCCTTTGGAAGGCCGAGGTGGGGGGCCGAGCTCTTGAGGCCAAGAGCTTGAGACCCAGCCTGTGCAACACAGTGAGACCACATTTCTACCAAAAAAAAAAGCACCCATAGGCCAAACAAGCCAAATACAGGGAAGCACTGATTACAAGGCAGCCCATGACCTAACCTTTTACATTCCCTTGTAGTTTATGTAAAAAAAAAAAAAAGTCTAGAAAATGGAATTATGGAAAAAGGAGAATTGGAATTCTTTACGGACCACAGCCAGAGTGGTGGCACACATCTATAGTCCTAGCTACTCGGGAGACTGAGGAGGATCACTTAAGCCTGGGAGTTCCAGACCAGCCTGGGTAACATAGCAAAACTTCATCTCTCAAAAAAAAAAAATTCTTTAGAGACCAGTTTTGATGATTGGGTAACAAGCGTTATGTACGTCAGAAGGATTAACTGACTGAGTTCAGGTCTCTGCCACCCATGCTGGAGTGCAGTGGCCACCTCCTGTCTCAGCTTCCTGAGTAACTGGGACTACAGACACGCACCAACATGCCCAGTTAATTTTTTAATATTTTTGTAGAGATGAGATCTCATTATGCTGCCTAGGCTGATCTTGAACCTCAAGTGATTCTCCTGCCTTGGCCTCCCAAAGAGCTGATATTATAGGTGTGAGCCACCACATCTGGCCTGTCAGCTGTATTTAAATGAATACAAAGTGAACGAATACAAAATGAATCCAAAGTGCCTGGAAGAGTCAGTACTCTGTAACGGACACACAAATTTTACTCCTTAAGATCATACTTACAGGCTGGGTGTGGTAGCTGAAGTCTGTAATCCCACCCCTTTGGAAGGCCAAGGCGGAAGGATTACTTTGAGCCCAGGAGTTCGAGACAAGGCTGGGCAACACAGTGAGACCTCATCTCTATAAAAAATTTTTTAAAATTAGGTGTGATGGCACTCGCTTGAGCCCAGGAGGTCAAGGCTGCCGTGAGATTGTGCCACTGCACCGCAGCCTGGGCCACACAGTGAGACTCAGACTCAAAAGGAAAAAAACCTACTTACTCATGAAATGATACAGGAGAATTCACAAACATAACTGAGTGAAAGCAGCTAAATACAACAGAATAAATAAATACTGCACGATCCCATTTACAAAGTTCAAAACACACAAAGCAGTCTTTGATGTCGAGAGCTGGGCCTTTAACTCCAGGGGAAGGGTCAGTGGCTCAGAAGAGGCAGGGCTTCTCCAGGGCCCTCGTCAAATCCCATTTCTCAACATAGATGCTGAACACATAGGGGTGTGCAGATTCCACAAAGTCATAACTGTTCACTTACATGCGCATTTTTCTATATGTATATTATATCTCAATACAAATGTGAAATGTGCATACTAAAATCTGCTTAGCAAATATCCTTATACAGTGCAAACACTAATCACTCATTCAGTCTGAATCATGAGATCAACAGAAAATGAAACTGGGCATGGGGGCTCACACCTGCAATCCCAGCACTTTGGGAGGCTGAGGTGAGAGGACGGCCTGAGCCCAGGAGTTCGAGACCAGCCTGGGCAACATGGCAAGACTTCAACTCTACAATAAAAAATAAAATAAAATAATTAGCCGGGCGCGGTGGCGCATGCCTGTAGTCCCAGCTACTTGGAAGGCTGAGGCAGAAGGATCGCCTGAGCCCAGTAGGTCGAGGCTGTGGTGAGCCGTGAGCATGCCACACACTCTAGTCTGGGCGAGAGTAAGACTCTGACTCAAAAAAAAAATTTTTTTAAATGTACTATAAAGTATGTACTTAAAATGTTATCATTTTCCTTCCTAAGAGGATCTGAGACTGATTTCATTTTGATAAATTCATTTTTTAATTTGTGACAATGATTTTTCTTCAAGAAAACTCGTTTTTGTATTTAACAAGGTCATTCTAGTCTAGCCAACCTTTTTTTTTTTTGAGAAAGCAGAATTTATTGAGAGGACAGAAAAGCTCCCACAGTGGGAGGAGACCCAAAGGGGTTGCCCAAGCCAACCTTACATAAAAGCATTTCACAAAGCTGTTTTCGCCCTCCCAACCCCTGCAAGTTACAGGCTCTGTGTCTGAAAACTGCAGTCGTGACTTAGAGCGCTGCACGGGACATGTCGCCAAGACCGGAGAGGCAGCGTCAGCAGGCGCGCACCCTTCGGAGGCCACCCCTCTTTCCGAAGCATGCCCGACCTCTCTGGAGCCTACCGTCCTGGATGTGGGCGGGGCAGACGGGCTGGTCAGCGACATGATCTCCTGAATGGCCAGCCTCAGCTTCAGCCTGTGCAGCGGGTTGCTGATGCCGATCTCACGCTGGATCTCGGTGTCGGACAGGGCCGACATGATGGCCCCGCTCTTCACGTTGGCTCGGCAGGCAGCCACATACCAGGCTGGCATCCCGACCCAGAGCTGCAGGACAGAGCAGGCCCAGACATTACGTGCAGTCCGCGAGCGCCACCCACATCACGTGACCCACTCCAGTGTTCAAACAAGGACGTACCTCCAGCCAGACGACAACCGTTGGCCCATCCCACTGGGCAAAAGGTAAGCCTTGCCTCCGGGCCTCCTCGAGCAACTCATGCCTACAAAAAGGAAGATATTCCAACTGAAGAATCGCTGGGACATGCATACAGGGAAGGAAGCGACAGAAGCCGCGTCTGAGCATTCCCAGAAGTCTGCCCCCTGCATCGGGGTGCCACATCGCACATTCAAACAATGGCGGGTCAACACTATTTGGGGAAAATGCCAATGAAAGTCAATATAATACAGCAGCTGCTTACACGGCGTTTACGTGTTTGGTGTGGTAATCCAGAGATGACGTGCCACACGTGGGAGGATATGCAGCTCATGTGCAGATGCTGTGCCACTTGACACGAGGGACCCAGCATCCCTGACAGCGGGATCATCTGTCTCTTCCTTTAGTCTTGCACAGCATTCATATTTTCACCAGCACCTACTTAATACTAGCTGTGCACATGCTGCAAAGAATGCCAGGGTAAGGACTCCGTCTGATTCCCAACAGAACCAGCATCTCCTCATGAAATCAAAGAATCATCACCAACTTAAAAACCATGCACAATCTTCATATCCAAGAACATGCAAGGGGAAACATATCACAATTCCTTTTCCAAATAATGAGGAAAAACATCGAGAAAGGGAAAATCGCAGTGGGTCTGAACACAGGAGCCTGTCTCTGTGGGACTATTTTAGATGAGATCTGGAGCAGTCAGGGTGGGGTAAGGCCATAGACTGTAGGACTATTTAGATGTTCACCATTTGACCAAAAGAGAAGAGAAGTAGCCGGGTTCGGTGGCTCAGCCTGTAATCCTGCGCCTTTGGGAGGCTGAGGTGAGTGGATTGCCTGACCCTGCGGGTTCGAGACCCACCTGGGCAGCGAGACCTCATCTCTACAATAAACCAAACAATCAGCCAGGCGTGGTAGCGCATGCCTGTAATTCCAGCTACTCGGAAGGCTGAGGCGGAAGGATCGCCGGAGCCCAGCAGGTCGCGGCTGCGGTGGCCAGGAGTGGCCACTGCACTCCAGTCTGGGCGACAGAGTGAAACTCCAACTCAATTGAAAAAAAAAAAGAGAAGAGAAGTAGAGTTTAACACTGAAACGTCACGGCCTGACCAATCTCATGCAGCAGGCACGGCACAGGTGACCGCTTCCATCCACACTGCTATCTAGCGAAGTGTCTGCTGAACTCAGGCCCAGGTCTTCTTGGGGTCTGTCCCAAGGCTCCTTACTCAGAGGACTGAAATCCCAGCAGCTCTCTTAGCCCAGAACAGATCCTGAGCACAAGGCCTGGCATGTCACTGGCAACCGCAGGGAAGCGAGAGGGGCGGGTACTGGCCACAAGTTTCTTTACGTGATCGGAAGCAGGCCGTACACATCTTTAAAAGTTATTCTACCTAACATAGGTACTGGAGAAAACACACTGCAAGCCTGGAGAATCTCACTTTTCTCCCTCAAGTGTTCTGCTACAAGGTTTCAAAAAGGGACAAATCATTTTTAAAAACCCAAAAAGTCTAGGAGAGAAGACGGCATTAGAACAGAAAGGACAGGTACACTTACTTTGCATGCATGGATGATTACTAGGTTTCTATTACTTTTCATCTTTTACTTCTAAAAAGTAGATACTGGCTCTTCAGTGAACGTAAACAGCTCTAGGTTTTTCTTAGGCCTGTAAAGTCTATGTACAACTACAGTTCATCTTCCTAAGCAAAATATTTCACGCAAGATTTTAAGTAAGTGTTCCAAAGTCATCCTTAGGTTTCCAGGGGACAGTGAATATGCTTAGCTAGACTCATTACACCAGAGAATGCAACACAGGCTTCAGCGCCTCAAGAGCAGTCAAAACCAGTAACATTTCCTAACCCTAATAAAAAAAGAGACCGAGAGCGGTGGTCATCTCGGTGCGAGGTCACGAGGGGCTCCCAAGACGCCCACACGGGTGGGGGGAGCAGGCCAAGGCGCAAGGCAGAAAGCCCGCAGGCCGACCCAGGCCCGCCTCCTGCTCCCCCAGACAGCAGCCCGGCGGGCCCGCGAGCGTTTCGGGGGAGCACAAAGCAGCCCCAGGAGAGTCCTGCACTCCAACAGAGTGAGCAGCTGAGGCCTCAGTGTCCGGCCAGGCCAAGGAAAAGGGGCTTCACGGCTGCCGGGACAGGAGGGTGTCCAGGCGTGTTTCCTGTGAGCGACCAGCATCGATAAAGGGTCCTCGGCAGCCGGCAGACTCCCTTTCTCATACCCAGTAGATATTCACCATAACAAGAAGCGCGAGGCCGAGAGAACCTGTGACTCCCTGACCTGGAGACGCCTCCCTGCCCTGGACGTCCCCTCCCCTGGCTGTGACCATGAGCCTTCACAGTCCTTCCTAGGATTCTGCCTGCAGGCTTTCCAGCAGTGGAAACAGGACAAGAGTTGCGGGGAGGCGGGGGAAGTCAGGGGTTGGTTGAGCAGCGGCCCAACCTCTGGCTGCTTCCAGGCTCCCCGCTCAGGTCAGCAGAATCTGCAAGATCAAACATGGGGCCCGAGCCTCGGCCAGTATCAGCTGAGACCACTAAAACCCCTGCTTCCTCTGGGGGGGAGTTCCCAATTGTGTGACGAGGTCCCCACACAGAGGGGACAGAGCCCAGTCCTTGGAGATGCTTGTAGCCAGCCTCACTCTGGGCTCTGTGGCTTTGAGTTCGAAATTGGGGTTCTTTCCCTTACTAGTATGAGCGCACTAACACAAAAAGGTCATATATAGCCAGGCTCAGTGGCTCAGCCTATAATCCCGCGCCTTTGGGAGGCTGAGGTGAGTGAATTGCCTGAGCCCACGGGCTCGAGACCCACCTGGGCAACTTGGTGAGACCTCATCTCTATTTTATAATCAAAATAAGCCGGGTGTGGTAGCACGTGCCTGTAGTTCCAGCTACTTGGAAGGCTCAGGCAGAAGGATCGCCGGAGACCAGCAGGTCGAGGCTGCAGTGGCTGGGAGCGGCCACTGCACTCCAGTCTGGGCAAGAGAGTGAGATTCCAACTCAAAAAAAAAAAAAAGTCATATAATTTGCGAATAATGACATGCCTGCTATAATTCAGGTAAAAGCTTAAGGTGCAGTTGTCTTTCCTAACAAGAAGCTTGTGTGAGCTTTTGCTGATCAAATAGTACAAAAGTGACAGAGAGAAAGCCCTTTCTCTTAACTACCCAAACTGAATACACTGCTGTATTTTCACGATAACCCTTTTCAAGCCCACAGCACCATGCATGACGGGCGGTGAGGCCTGCTTTCACAGCTGTGACTGTGGCTCAGGCAGGGCACGCTGGCAGATCCTCAGGACAGGTGCAGGGCCACCCTGCCGAGAGGATAGAGTCGACATTTCTACCGCAAACCTGGAAAGATCCTCTCAGAAGTTCAGTGCACAGCCTGCGGATGGTGACGCCAGTGCTGTCCACCTGAAACACCACACTGGGCACAGAAGCTTGCAGAACCCACTCACCCTGGGAGGGCGCTCCGTCCACAAGGAGGAAGGAGGAGACAGCGTTTTCAAAGCAAGGTGACGTAAAGACACCAAGTTTTGACAGCACCAGGGAAGTCTACAAGCACCGCGGAAACACTGTCAAAGCTGACAAACGGAGGCGATGTCTGCAGTCCCCCACCCGCGGATTCACACCCTGCGTCGGGCACCCATGGTGCCTGCAGTCTCCTCCAGTGTCTTCTGCAGACCCGGATTCAGCTTGCCACCAATCCCACTAGGCATCAACCCCACCAGGTGTGGGAAAATTCTCCGTAAGTGAAAGCATCTGGCTGTATAAACTTAATAGGCAAAAGCACACACCGTTGAGTTAAATCAGGCTTAATAAAAAGAAACTAATTCTGAAGGTTACATTTTTATTCTTAAATCAACAGTGCCATAAGCTTTATTTATTTATTTTTTTGAGTTAGAGTCTCACTCTGTCGCCCAGACTGGAGTGCAGTGGCCGCTCCCGGCCACCGCAGCCTCGACCTGCTGGGCTCCAGCGATCCGTCCACCTCAGCCTTCCAAGTAGCCGGAACTACAGGTACGCGCTACCACACCCGGCTAATTTTTTGATTTATTGTAGAGATGAGGTCTTGCCAAGTTGCCCAGGTGGGTCTCGAACCCGCAGGCTCAGGCAATCCACTCACCTCGGCCTCCCAAAGAGCGGGATTACATGCTGAGCCACCGAGCCCGGTCAGTGCCGTAAGCTTTAAACTGCACTCACACAAGACTTTTCTTGGATAATTCAAACATTTTTTCTAAAATTAATTTGATCTCAGGTTAACGGAAAGAAATGCAGTCAAACAAGTAGCCTCTGAACTTTGAAGTTTTCCCCATCAACTTGCTGGTTCATCTCAGAACTTATCCATGGATCCCATGCTCAGGATGTCCCTTAAAGCCAAGTGTTCAAACACACCTCTTGAGAATTGCAAAATAAATTTTTAAAAAAAGAGTGAAACATTTTGGGCAACTTACACGATTTTTTCTCCTACTTATGGGGGCTGGGACAGTTGGACCAAGTTGCACTGCCTCAAACCTTCCTGTTTCTATGACAGCACGCACGAGGATGTGAAACAAAACATATCAGCAAAATCTAAGGAACAAAATTTTCCTAGCAGGGTTCCAGGGGGCGGTAGGCCTTGTTCGAACGTTAAGTTCCACAGGGCCAAATGGCAACAACCCAGGTTATTTTTAAACATTTTTACACAGTTCAAAGATAGCCACATTCAAATCAGACTTTGCAGTTAAGTGGTTTCTACGAGTTTCCATTTACGGGGAAGCAAAAAACAGAGTATTCCTGTGGTACTGCTGACGTCACAACACGTCCCCTGAACGACGCCCAGCAGTCAAGGTACTCATTACGGCATCTGAGAACTAAACTGAGGTCGATTCCACAAGAGAAAAATCCATGGGCAACCCTAGGGACCATGGGCCGAGTAGCCTCTGGGGCAGAGGGGCCCGTGGGCTCCAGAGCGGCTGGGGGCCAGGGCCTTTGGGCCTTGAGTTCCAGACCGTGTCGGGTGGGTTCTCAGGGCACTCGGGTGCCCAGGCGATCCCCTGCAGGGAGATGCGTCACAGCGCCCGCCTGGAGGCCGGTTTGCCTCTCAGCACCGGCTCAAGAGCCCCCCGCACGCAAGCTCAGCTCTCCTCTCAGACCACACAGGCTGCTGGTTCTGCTGCAGAGGTGGGCTGCTCTGTTTCTCATTGGTCAGTCCCGGGGCCACTGTCTCCGTCTGTCTAGTCTGTCCACAGTCAGTCAGCCCGCAACTCACCCGCACCAGCGCAGACCCAGAGCTGCGTGTGCGCCCAGCCCTCGATGCCCTTACGCTGGTTGAAAACTCCAAAGATCATCACTTACCTTACCTTTAGAACCAGACTTAGCTCAGAACTAAGATTTAATAAAAACTGAAATCTAGAGTCTACTGGAGATAAAAGTATAAAATCTAGCCGGGCTCGGTGGCTCAGCCTGTAATCCCGCGCTTTGGGAGGCTGAGGTGA